TGTCTTCTGATTTTGTGGCGGTCTTCACATTATATTTCTACTTGTGATGAAAGTATAAAATTCAAACCCCTGTATTTTTACCGCCTTTATTTTTAAATTGAGTCATAGACATAAACAATTTCAACTTCTTACATTTCAAGTCTTTCCTGAAACATTAAGTTATAGTGAACAACAAGCCTGATGTCTACATACAATATTTAATATAGTGTTTTATTTGTGCAGATTGTTCTTTCAGTCATTATCTACTTGATGCCATTTTCACCAGCGTCCTGGAGAGCAGCATTCATGCCCCTTCATGTTTTCTTTGGACGGTCACTCTTTGGCAGTGTTATAGCTGTGGCACTCATGGGCATAACAGAGAAACTTATTTTTGGCCTGTAAGTATATCAAAATGAAAAATAACTTGTAATAGATTAATTGAAATCTCAAGACGTGATATAAAAAGTGAATGTGTTGCCTAACTGTGGAAACATTTTCTTCCCCCTCATTAAGGAGCAACCCGAAGTATAAGGACTCTCCTCCAGAGGCAGTCTTTGTGAATGTTATGGGAGTGCTCCTTGTGGCCTATGGAGTGGCGATTCTCTGGATTTCAACTCGAACATCTTGGAAACGTCCCAACGACCTGGCTCTGCATACTCAGCATACCAGTGGGGGAGGTGAGGACAACATTAAAGTTGGTTCCTCTCTGTCGCAGTTATCTGATGAAGCTGAAGCTGAGGGCCATGTGGATGTGAGGAGGAGGGGTCACAAACTAGATGATCAGGCCGACTGATAATAAAATAAATCATTTGGAGCAATGTGTTGACTCTGTGTATTTCCAGTGTAAACTGGGAAGAGAAAGGCTAAAAGAAGAAATCTAAATTTGCTCCTCATAACTTTCTCTCTTGCACCTTCAAGTATTGTATGAAAACTGCACTTTCCGCTTGTTTACTGTTAACATGTGTTATTGTAAGCACATGGAAATATAGTAAAGTTTTTTATAACAAGGTATGTAGATGATGCTGTTGATATACACTGTTTACAAACTTTACAAACAATAATGTCAGATTGTCTTTATTCTGATTCTTTTGTATTCTGTCATTTTGCATTTTATGAATAAAATATGTTCAGAACCAAACTGCATGTATGAATGTATTGATTTTCTAACTACTACATGCATAAGGTAATCACTAGAAAGTATGAGCAAAGGTGTGTGTTATTGTCTTGGTTAACCCATTCATTTTTTATTTTTCTAAGCTCTTTCTCTATCATGATGCCTTAAATAGATACTAGTGTTACTTAATTGCCAATACTAAACACGATCATCAAGTACAATACCAGAACGCTTCATAGGAAACTCATTAAGAAGGCCTGCTCTGTGATAGGCTGCAAGCTGGACTCTTTTGTAGTGGTGACAGAGAGGAGGACTCTTAACAAACTGTTATCCATTATGGATAATCCTGATCACCCTCTGCACATCCTACTGGACAAACAGCGGAGCAGCTTCTCCAACAGACTGATTCAACTCCGCTGTCACAAGGACAGATACAAGAAATCTTTCTTACCGAAGGCCATAACTCTGTACAGCAGCTCACCTCATGCGAGCAGAGAACTGTCATCATGATAATATCTGTCTCGCCATACTGTAATCTGTTCAATTCAATTCAATTCAATTTATTTTGTATAGCGTCAACTCATAACAAGTGTTATCTCAAGACACTTTACAAAAAGCAAGTAAAATACCTTACTCATTGTCTGTTAACATTACAAAAGAGCAGGTAAAAAGACCTTACTCATTGTTATGTTACAAAAAGCAGGTAAAAGACCTTACTTTTTGCTATATTATAAAAACCCGGCCTATCCATCTTTAGCACTTTAGCAAAGCAGCAAAAGTTACAGTGGTTCTGGCAGGCCGTCAACCAACGATCTTGAGGAGCCTAAGAGAGCTCAAGAGCTCTCAGGAAAGTAGGTGGTTAGTGACTGAGATTTATAGATAGATACAAGCAGTAATATGATGTACTGTATATGGAGAGAGAGAGAGAGAGAGAGAGAGAGGAGCTCAAGGTGCCAGTTTCCCCGGTAGTCTAAGCCTATAGCAGCATAACTAAGAGCTGGTCTACACCAGCACTAACTATAAGATTTATCAAAAAGGAAAGTTTTAATTCTATTCTTAAAAATACAGACTGTGTCTGCCTCCCGGACCCCGGCTGGAAGGCGGTTCCAGAGGAGAGGAGCCCGATAACTGAAGGCTTTACCCCCCCATAGTACACTTGGAGACTGTAGGTACCACCAGCAGGCCTGCACTCCGGGACCGCAACGCTCTCGAGGGACAGTACGGCACTAGTAGCTCCTTCAGGTAAGATGGTGCCTGGCCATTTAGCGCTTTGTAGGTGAGAAGAAGGATCTTGAATTCTATTCTAGACTGTATAGGGAGCCAGTGCAGAGAAGCCAGGACAGGAGTGATGTGGTCCCATTTCCTGGTTCTGGTCAGTACACGAGCTGCAGCGTTCTGGACCAGTTGAAGAGTCTTTAGAGATTTGCCAGAGCACCCTGACAAAAGAGATTTACAATAATCCAGTTTGCCGTAACAAATGCATGAACTAGTTTTTCTGCATCATTTTGCAACAGGATATTCCTAATCTTGGATATATTACGAAGGTGAAAATAGGCTGTTCTTGAAACTTGACTGATGTGAGAGCTAAAAGACATATCTTGATCAAATAGAACTCCTAGGTTCCTAACAGTGGTGCTAGATGCCAGGCTGATGTCACTAAGGACAGTCAAATCACTAGAAAAAGTCTCTCTGAGGTTCTTAGGGCCTAGCACAATAACTTCAGTCTTGTCTGAGTTAAGTAGCAAAACATTTCTGGTCATCCAGGTCCTAACGTCCTTAAGGCACGTTTCTAGCTGACATAACTGACTGGTGCCATTGGGCTTCATTGATACATAAAGCTGAGTATCATCTGCATAACAATGAAACTGTATGGAGTGTTTCCTCATAATATTTCCCAGAGGAAGCATATATAATGTAAAGAGAATTGGTCCAAGCACTGAACCTTGTGGGACTCCATGGCAAACTTTAGTGTGCATAGAGGACTCATCATTAACATGTACAAACTGAGATCAGTCTGATAAGTAGTATTCAAATGCAAATGCTCCAGTCTGTACAACAGGATCCGATGGTCAATGGTGTCAAAAGCAGCACTAAGATCTAACAAGACGAGCACAGACAGAAGTCCCCTGTCTGAAGCTAGAAGTAGATTGTTTGTAACTCTAACTAGTGCAGTCTCAGTGCTATGGTGGACTCTAAATCCTGACTGAAACTCCTCAAATAAACTGTTGTCATGGAGAAAGTCACACAGCTGTTTAGCTACCACTTTCTCCAGGATCTTCGAGAAAAAAGGAAGGTTGGATATAGGCCGATAGTTAGCTAGAGTTCCTGATTCCAGAGTAGGCTTTTTAAGTAGAGGTTTGATTACCGCTATTTTAAATGCCTGTGGTACATAGCCTGCCAGTAAAGACGAATTGATCATATCTAATATAGAGTTGCTAACTAAGGGAAAGAATTCCTTAAACAGCTTGGTTGGGATTGGGTCCAAAATACAGGTTGACGGTTTCCACGCAGAAAAAATGGAATATAGCTCTGAAAGGTCGATTGGAGAAAAACAGTCTAGAATAATATCTGGTCCTGGAACTGTCTCTGCCGTATCAGACGTATCCGCACCAGGTAAGGGCAGGAGGTTACTAATTTTGTCTCTGATGTCTAGAACTTTGTTGTTGAAAAAACTCAGGAAGTCATTACTGCTGAGGGCTAAAGGAATACAAGGCTCAATGGAGCCATGACTCTCTGTCAGCCTGGCTACAGTGCTGAAAAGGTATCTAGGATTGCCTTTGTTTTCCTCAATTAGAGAGGAATAGTAGGCAGCTCGGGCGTGACGTAGAGCCTTCATATATCTTCTATGACTATCCTGCCAGAAAAAAACGAGATTCTACCGTTTTGGTCGAGCGCCATATTCTTTCAAAATTCCGCGACGATTGTTTTAGAGTACAGGTTTCTGAGTTGAACCATGGAGCCACTCTCCGCCGCTTGACAACCTTCTGTTTCAGGGGAGCAATCGAATCCAGAGTAACTCTCAGCGAATCCACTGCACTATCAACAAACTGATCTAGCTGAGAGGGACTAAAGCTATCATAAGAGTTTCCAACTGGGTTGAAACACAGTACTGAATCAAAAACAGCTGAAATAGCTTCCTTAAATCTAGCAACAGCACTATCCGACAAACTTCTAGAGAGCACACCTCTTCCAGGCAGAGGTAATTCTGGTAGGACAAAATCGAATGTAATAAAAAAATGGTCTGATAGCAGAGGATTTTTTAGGAAAACTGTAAGGTTATGGATTTCAATTCCATAAGCTAAAACAAGATCCAGGGTGTGGTTAAAATGATGAGTAGGTTCGTTTACACCCTGGGTGAAACCAATAGAGTCTAATAGTGACATGAAAGCTGTGCTCAGGCTATCATTATCAACATCCACATGGATATTGAAGTTCTGTTCTGCACATGTTACATTTACAAATTATCCCTGCACTCCAGTTTACTTCTTTTGTCTGTCTACTCGCCGTTATATTGAATAGTTTCTGCTGATAACATGTCTACACTCATGCACTTTAACTTATAGTATCACTGATTGCACATCTCCCTATGTCAATACTGTCCATTTACAACTCTGTTTTTGCACATTTACATCTAATCTTTCATATCTAAGACTAGTAATGCTAAATTAAATCCTGGTTGTATATATTCCCATTCTTAGTTTTGATATTTTTAGTGCTTATTTACTTTGTATTTAATATTATATTGTGTTTATCTGCTAATATTGTGTGTTTGGACAACCTGCTGCTGTAACGCCACAATTTCCCAGTTTGGGATCAATAAAGTAATTCTATTCTATTTTATTCTAAACATAGAAAGTCTCCATCTTTGACCTCAGATGGCAGCAGACAGCCACGTCAAAACTGAACTCTTCCCATTTTGAACTTCCCAGCATCCGTAGAAAGGCTGGCAGCCCGTTTGTTTTGGCTGTGTTGTTGATTAAGAGGCATTTGCTGTCAGGTCGAAATCCTGATTTAAGGTTTGTAATCTACACGTCAGTGTATAGTTAACAGTGGCGTTACACCCTTTGAACATATTTCTGAACTTTACTCTGTGTTTGTTATTATTCGTTGTGCGGTCAGTAAAGGAGCATGATGACAGCACTATGGGGTTACCCGGGGCTTCTAGCGAATACAGCTCTAATATATAATGCTAGCCTAAACTTTCTAGATTTTAGAAGACCCATTTCTTTCTAAAATATATTAACTCAAAACTAGTGCTTCACTTAGCTTGGTCTTTGAGGTTTATTAAATTGCATCCTTTCATATTTTAACCAGGAAGGCTAAGCTAGCTCCGCAGCTTGTTTCAACAAGGAAGGCTAACGTTAGCTAAGGCCGATTTGATGCAAACGTAGCCTGAATTTATACGAAACAGAAGCTTGATAGCGTTAAGCAACTTAACATCACATTAATTTAACTGATATGTAGTCTGAAAACGTTTACGTTAACATAAGAAAGTGGAAACAAAAGCATAACCCATTGCTAAGCTAACCGGGTGTTGTAAAAACTGTAGGGTGGGGCTCTGCGTTATCTCGCTGAGTGGTCAGCCTGGCCGTGGTTTTGGTTTTGCACAGGATGTAAAGTTGTACAAAGACCCACGACGTTTTCTCCAACTGCTACGTTAATTTAATCACTAAGCTGCAGGGAGAAAAGAGACAACTCTTATTGTTGTTCTGTTAACTGTATATTGGGCTGGGTGACGTCTCTACATGTCCTCTTAGCAGTGCAAGGTGGTACCTATAGGTCAGGGGTGTGGCGGCCCCCATCAACCCTCCAAGTGGCTCTCAGGTTATTTTTTTTACACATCAATTAATTGGAAACATGAAGAAAACATTATGAAATCTGCCATGAAAACCAGAAATGTGTCCATAATCATATTTGATCACTGGTATATGTTGAGTTAAATTTGAGACATAATTGACCGTAATCGTTTAATTTGGCCCTCTGGCAGTGAGAATTAAATGAATGTGGCCCTTGCTGTCACCAAAGTTGCCCATCCCTGCTATAGGTGGTACTGAAGCTGAGAGCATCGTGACTTGAAAGCCTTGTCGGTAAACAATGCAAACACGAGGACAATTCACTTATCATTTAGTAATTAGTATCTAGCCAGTCTGCACATAGCTCTGTATATATATATTTATTTCTCATTTACTGCACATAGTTATGGTTACATCTGTTAGTCCGATCACTGTCCACTTATATCTACTCCTTTATATTTTGTATTTTAAGTTAAGCTTTAAGTTGTATTTAAATTGACACTTTATGTTTAGGTTGATATGTTTCGTCCACCTGCACTGTTGTTAATTTATTACTCTGTGTGCCTTTGAATTACCCCCGGGGACAAATAAAGTTTTTTGAACTGAATTGAATTGATTGGAGCGCTTGATACTTAACTTTTGTTTGATATGGTTGAGACTGAAGCGCACAATCTTTCCTCAGGACAGGTGTTCTCTTTTGAACAAGAAAACTAACTAAATGTGTTGTGTACACAGCTGTGGCATCATGTCTTCCAAAAGTGAGCTGAAAGCGGAGCTTGAAAGGAAGAAGCAAAAGTTGGCACAAATCCGAGAGGAGAAGAAAATAAAAGAGGAGGAGCGCAGAAAGAAAGAGGTATGTTTAACATGCTGCCACTATTTGAATAGTCACTTATATTTCATGCAAAAAAAGTGAATATGAGGCAAAAACGTGTCCGAAACTGGGCAATGTGGATGTCAGTGTTACTGTCCAAATGCTAATTTAACCTACATTTGATTTGTGTGAGTTTTGTTTCTCAAGATGCTGCAGGAGAGTAGGGAAAATAATCAAATCTTTGGAAATTTGGCATGTTGATCCTATGATAACATTTTGGTAAAAGTCCCAAAATAAATAGTTGATTACTAAATATGTTCAATTCATATTATATTATCTTGGGTAGAAGATCTGTTAGTTACGGTATTTACAATGAGATATTACAAAAGATTTTCTGGACAATGAGCAGGTGCGATATGAAGTAACAGTATTATGTTTTTTTTAAATTTATGTCATCAACATTTCAGATATTAAGTGAGCTTAGTAGGTGTAGGTGATTTTGCAGCAATTGTAATTATGTATTAACATACAAAACATTATGTGGAAAGAAAGTTAACTGGAGCTCATTTACAGGATTTCATGTAGTTTTTTCCCAGTTGATAAATAGGATGTGTACTGCTATAAAATTATACTTTTAGGAAACAATATGCAAACAACACTAAGGGATTCCAGTCCAATGTTTATTGTCATGCTATATCTGCACATGTCAAATAGTAAAAGTATGTTATTGGTAAAACTAACTTCTACTCTCTGATGCTTGTTAGTTGACATGTTGGCATGGTGCAAAGGATGCAGATCGATCAGTTTATCACATACATAGACATTTGTTAAAAGACCATTTTCTGCAGAGTTGTTGTAATACATCTCAAATGCACCTTTGGGATGAGCTGGTACACCTGACAGTGCACTGATCAGTAACTATTTTGTGCAAAAAGCCCTGATACAAATATTTAAAGTTCCTTCTTTTCCACAACAGTCACATACATAGCAATGCTTTCTATTATAACTGGCACCAGCAAATACTGTTTGAGAGTGGCAAAGAAAAACCAGTTTCAGGTGAATAATCTTGCAAATATTGCAATTAACAACCGTACACGAATAAAAGAGAGCAACATGTCAGCAGTCAGTTTGTCCTTCACATATTTAAATTATGTTTAATGCTTACAAAAGAGACAGTAAGCACATCCCTTACAGGCTTTATGATTTAAAGTTGTTGATAAAATGAAAATATATAGGAATAGGAGGTAAAGGAATCACAACCAAGGAGTGAAACTTACCTCTGAATCTCTCTGTGCTGTACACGTCATTGTCTGAGATCATTGCTATATATTTGAGATATTTAGACACTGTTTTAACAGGTGATGCATCTCTTTGTTTCAAGGCGGAACAGTTAAAAGATGCTGCCCCTCATCAGGATGATTCTGACCTCGAGAGAAAAAGACGAGAGACTGAGGCTTATCTACAGAGTATGGGTTTAACCTCAGATGTTCCTGTTGGTATGTTTCATACTACCTACTCTCAGACATATGACTGTCTTTAATCATCACCCCAAACATATCTGTTCGGTTCCTAGACATTTTCATATCTTCTGTTTTGTATTGCTTTTTAACAACCAGTTAACTAAACTGTAGCTGAAGCTTATTGGTCTTTACATCTCACATACATTCATTTTGTTGAGACATTTTCACCAGTGTTTTGAACTTTTGACCAGGGATTCTGGGTATTCACATTTATACTGCACAAGGATAACGATCAGAAACGTGCAGTGGAATGTTGTTAACATGTCGACTTAAGTCCCCTGACCTCGGACCAGTAGATCATGTGTTTGACTCCTTTAAAGCGAGAAACATGCCAGTGTTCAACACGACTGCATCTAAAGAGTCATTGACTTGAATATAGGAACATATCAGATGGTATGACTTGAAGTCTGGGTTCTTGTTTTATTACATTTTGTCTCATTAATCACAGTCGTATTTATAAATATTAAAGGCTCGTGTGGAGGCAAAGATCCTCACCATAAAACTCTCAGCCATTATTTTACCATTACATTCTGATAACTCAAAATATTATCATTTCAGAAGATTCAGCGTGCAGGAGTTTAGAGGTGTATCAGTAGAATAGCGTTACTGTCCTTATCCACTGCATTCAAAGAGTTTATTTTAGATTAATGTAATAACTAACCAGTTGGAAAGGAGAACAAAATAACTTGAATAGGTTGCTGAAAAAGGTCAAAGCATATTGCTGAAAGAGTCTCCCATGTAGAACTTGAAAAGTATCAGTCTTACAGTAGATGTTTTTATGTTTTGATATATTTCACTAAATGTTTATACACATGTCGGCTACGTAAAAACAGGAATTAAATTACATTTATAGTTAAAATGATGGATTTAGAGTGGATAGAAAAGAGCACTGTTATGTTGCTAACAGCAGGTGGCAGAAGAGGTCCATTGGAAAATGTTCACTTACTGGACGCAGACAAACTTAGAGAAAACATGAAAGGTTTCCATCTGTTCTACTTTATTTAAATTGATTGAAGCATTCATATAAGAATGGAAAAAATAGTGTTATGGTGTTATTAAACATGTTTTCATAGAATGTGAATTGTCAAAAGATAATCTGCTTTATGATTTTTACATTCATAACAACATTCTCCTTAAAATGTAGCATGGGATTCACATGACAACGTCATACTTTGAGGCATTTTTAACTATTTTTGTGAATTTGATTATTGTCTGTCTTGACCATGTAGCCCCTCCTCCCACATCTCCAACAACCAAATCTGCGGGAACCCCAAGTGAGGCAGGGAGCCAAGACTCTGATGGAGCTGTGGGACCCAGGTACAAACACACACAGGGACACACACACTGACGCATACACTCCCAAGGAAAGTGTATGTAACCGTTTCTCCCTGCCTCCTGTACAGTACATTTCAACTGTGGAATCAATCAATCTCTGCTCTTGAACTTATGGCTATTTTTTCTACCTTGGGCATGATTTTTCAGAGCTTCATACTTATGATTTGATCTTTGTACGTCTTCTCCAAATGTCTGCGGGCATTTAGAAAAGCTAATGCCAGCAAGGATATGATTTCAGTATTTTAGGGGGGGTCAGTAAATTAGTCCAGAAGTATTTTGATTCTGCTTTGAAAAAGTCTTTTTGCATCACTTTGAACTCCACACAAAGCTTATGGAACTGGTTAAAGCATGATTACATTAAGAACAACTGAGCTTAAGTCTTTAATAAGTCTTGTACCATTAAAGTGAATGATGATGAGTTTATGCCAACTGAGTGCATGTTTATTTAATTTGTGTGCCGTTGAATTAGGACAATCTTAAATTAACAATAAAACGGCAGGCTGCTGTGATGCCTGGGGGACTTCTTAACCCCTAATTAGAGCCCCTTCCCTGGGCTGAAATTCAAGCTCCCCCAGTGTCCCATCAGGCCCAGGGAGCTGTTCCCCCTATGTGTTGACTCATTTCCCTCACCAGCATGGCCATTTCCTACACACATGGAGGTCATGTTTTCTCCCTGAGGGTTCTCTCTCTCTCTCCCTCCCTTTCTGTCAACACAGCACTCAGAGCCTTTGGTTTGACACACAGCTCTGGCTTCACATCATCTCACTCTGAGAGTCTGCGCGTCCATGCATCTTAAGCAGATACTTTTATTCACCTCTGAGTATTCTGTCTGCAGATTGAAGCTTGATATGCAGTGACAAAGAAATTCCAGTCGTAATTGTGTTTTGATAACATGTGAATTGAACAGATTTGTTAGCTCAAATCCAATCAGCATGTTGTGTGCCACAATGCTAACTGTATATCCTCTCCTCATTTGTGCTTGCTTGTCTCTTTCACTAATGCCGCCTTGTTGCTGTGACACTAACCAGGACTCTGCACTGGGACTCTGACCCGTCCACTCTTCAACTTCACTCTGATTCTGAGCTGGGGTACTGGACACTCTCTTCTCTCCTTTCCTGGTCATTTTCCCTTCTCTCAATCTACGGCATGGTTACTATGTCTTCCAAAGTCATAATTCAGCTAATTGAGACCAGGAGAAGCGTCAAGCAGTGCATACATAAGACAAAACACTTTTAATAAATTCACACTGGGTGTTTTAACTAATCTGAAATCTTTGCCATCTCATGGAACACTCTGTTACTTACTTTGATCAGCACCAGAGTCCTCTCCCATGAAGCAAAAAGAAACAATGGATGAGAAAAGTTACAGTCAATTAATTGTTTGTACTATGTTTTATTTTGTTTTTGTAAGTGATCCCAGGCTGTGCAAAGTTTAAGATGTTTGTGTTTTTAGGCGTGCGACTCCAAAACTGGGAATGGCCAAAGTCACACAGGTGGACTTCCCGCCCCGTGAAACTGTGTCCTACACAAAAGAGACCCAGACACCTGTCATGACCCTGCAAAAAGAAGGTATTTCTCATTTAATGTTCTGCCTTAAGGTTAACCTTGACATATTGACAAACCCTTTGAATCTACTGAGAACATGTGGACGCTAACAGAGCTTTATTCAAGTGTAGATTTAAAGCTTCCTGGCCCAAAGAAAATAATCTTGTTTTGCTGCACTTCTTGAGAATTTTGCAAAACAGCAAAGGTCTGTTCAAGTGTACAAGCGGGCTACCGGAAGTGACCACCACGTTGAAGAGATCTGATTTGAGATGAAAGGATAGGGGGGAAAAAAACAAGGTCCAGGAAACACAAGAAGCCGAAGGAAAGATTAAATTCAGACAAGCCCTGCTCTTCTGAACCTAAAGCCTGCTTTGGGATAATTAATGAGCAGGATGAGAAAACCAGTGACAGGAAGGCGAAAGCGATTTAGGAGGGAGATATGAAGCACTCCACATACGTCTGCTCGCTGCCTGTGATGCATGTCGATATGTATGTAATTGCTGCACTGGAACCTTCATGTGGTCAGCCATGGAGAATATTCAGGCTACTAGCATCCACATGTTGAACAGATGTTCGATTAGATATGCAATATTTGTGGGTGTGCTGCTTGTTCTTGGTTGATTTACGTAATGACAGATGGCAAATCATGCGCTCGACTTAAATCCTGATTAGAATTTTTTTTTGTTTTTTGTCCTGATTTTTTTGTTTTTATTAGACAGATCTGACAAAACTGCGACTACTGGAATGTCTCCTAAGCCGTTTGCTCCATTTGTTTTTGCCTGAGCTGACACGTTTTTGTAAGCATTCTGAAAGCCTGTTTAGGATTTTAAACAGCGTCCTGATTGGTGGTTGTTGTCCCACCAGGTGATGTGTAGAAAATTCTGATGTGCCATGCAGCGAGAGTAATGAAAAAAAAAGTGTGATTTTGTGGAAAGACTGCAAACAGAACTAGCGAAGGATGAAGAGCATCCCTCTGTCTGTCGTCGGTCTTTACTCCGGACTCTACTGGGCATTGTAAAACTGTGTTAAACAATGATGGTTCCTGCCAGCTGTTCAACACAAGGCCCCCCCTTCCCCTCTCTGCCGCTATGTAATCATTTCATCAAGTTCCCTCGCTTCCCTGTCTTCTCCCTTCACCGAGCAGGCACATAACAAAACACACTCAGTGACATTGTGCATTTTCACACCATCACTTCTGGCACTCGATGAGGCGGCATCCCCCTTCCCTGCTCACTTGCTCCCCTCGGCGCATTTTTGATGCGCGGGGTGGCTTCAGGCCGGTTCTCTGATTGAGCGATTTATCATGTTGTCAAAAGGGAGGCGACGGCGCGGCACTCTCAAGGTCAGCGGGCGGTGGCGTTTCGAGGGATTGTTGTGTCCTGGCGGCTGAGCACCAAGGGTTTCAACAGAGTCTGCTGGACACAAGAAAGGAGGGGAAGATTTTAACATCACCTGCCCTGCTGGCATTAAGAAAACCCCGGATCAGTCAAGGAGAACACATCTTTGTTAATATGTGTTTTTTATTAATGGAGCTGTACTGCTTTATTTTACCATGAACAAAAACTGGGCATAGTGTTTTTTGTTTAGCTTAGCCTACCCTGAAAAGTCCTCATAGATATCTTAAGCTGTACTATCTTTATTTGCTTAGTTTAATACGATGGGACAGCTCATTTGCATTACTTCTATTAAAGTTAGTGCTATTCCTCTGTAGGTCATTTCAGGATTTAAAGCCCCCTGATTGGTGAATATCTGTACCCCAGGTACAGTATTCCCTCAGTGCACTAGTATGTAATATGCCGCATCAATAGGCACTCCTCAACAAGAGGCAGTAATTATTGAGTAAGATAGTGTGTGTGTGTGTGTGTGTGTGTGTGTGTGTGTGTGTGTGTGTGTGTGTGTGTGTGTGTGTGTGTGTGTGTGTGTGTGTGTGTGTGTGTGTGTGTGTGTGTGTGTGTGTGTGTGTGTGTGTGTGTGTGTGTGTGTGTGTGTGTGTGTGTGTGTGTGTAGTGGTTAGTATGGTGTCGTGTTTAAAAAGGCTTGTCAGGATTATGAGTATGTAGAGCAGTTCAGTAAATCTGATATTTAATTGAATATGATTGTTTTAATCACTCTGAATTCAGAGGCAGGTCAAAACTTTTAATCACAAAAGCCCTTTAATGGCCTTCTTGTGTGGAGTGCCACTTGTAATTGTGTTCAGCTTTTATGCACTTGATGATTAGTACTGTGAAATATCTATTGTATCTCCCTCCCCTTATCATACAGTAGCTTCTCATTTCTAACAGAACATTTAGTATGTTATCCTTTTTTTTCTTGGTTTCAATTTGTGTAACTTAGTCTTTTTCTCTGTTTTAAGAAGATTACAAGTTTTTTTTTTTAGAATCTATCAGGCATTTGATTTTTAGCAGGAGAGTCCTAGTTTGGGATTTCTGTCAGTGATCTTTCAACCTCGGTGTGATCGGAGTGGCATGGAGTAACCATGTTGACGACAACAATAGACTCCTGTGTCACAGATGACCACGTCTTGAACTGTGTTATCAGAATGACAGACAGTCTGACTCTTTGTTTTTTATTTGCCTTTTAGCAATTTCTCTATTTGCTACATTTCTATACACAATTACAAACATTGTAACACTTTTTGAAGTGCATTTTGTAAGATGTGCTCTGTTTTTAGGAACGGAGAAATGACAGTGCACTTATTTGTGTGTGTAGGGGTGGGGTCTGTCTTATGTGTGCTGGTCTTTTATTGGACAGAAAAACCCTTCTGCACGTGCTGAAGTCAGACTCTTGTTTGGTGTTAACGTATAGAAAGCGGGAGACACCTGCAGCGGTGGGCAAAGGTCATTTAGTTTTGAACTGGTACATCTTTGGCCTCATACCGTGTTTGCATTAATATATTTTCCATTGACTAAGACCTGTGATTACTAAACCCCCTCCCCCCCTCAGCCCCCCCAAAAGCTTTTATTTCTTAAGTGGTACAAAAGCTGTAATTGGGCCTGCTTTCAGAGGAGGTGTCAGTGTATGGGACATGGCTGATCCGGGTGAATTCTGTTAAATGCAACCCCCCCTCTTCCCCACTTCCTCCACCGCCACCCTAGCTAGGCGCTACTAGCCCCCCCCCCCACCCACCCCCACACACACACACACACACACACACACACACACACACACACACACACACACATCCACAGCGGGGTCACCAGGATCACTAGCTTTTCTCCAAATGGCCATTTTGGCTGGCAGGTGCATTATACCCTTTATTTTCAGATTGTCTATCCGCTCCTAATGCCTGGCAGGTTGATTGCTCTGGCTGCCTCACCAGGGAGAGGGCTGACGAGCACGGCCGGGACTATCTGAAAGACAGTGATTACTGTTTTCCTTTAAGCCTGATTGAGGCCCTTGAAAGGAAAGATTTTAACCTTGTGCTGTTGGTTGCAGGGTATGGCCGTACATTGAAATGGCTCGTGTCATCAACCCTGGTTTCAGTAAACTCATCAGTGCACCCAATAACCTTCTTCCCCAAACCTCCATCTGATAAAAAGGGATAAATCACTTCTATGGACAAAGTGACAGATGACATTATCATTTAGATTATCTCAGTAGGAAGGAAATTCTGGCATGCGGTGCTGTCATCTTAGATTAACTTTAAAACTCATACCAAGATAAACGCCCGGAGGAACCAGGCGAGTATTTTTCCTCTTCTGGTGAATCTGTTTTGTCCGGCTTTTTCTATTATGCTTTACATTGAAAGCGTAGTCTATATACCGTCTTTCAGAGATGTGTTTTGAGGAGAAAAAAAAAACACGTTTATCTCCTCCGAAGTAGAACCGGTGTGCTGTTTGCCAGCTGGTCTGGCCTGTATTTTGTTGTACATTCTCTGAGGATGAATAGGAGTTGCAGGACCTCCTGCTAGGACGGTAATTGCTCGGGGTTTGCTGTTCAGGGAGAAGCTTGTCTCGGGGCAGCCAGGCAGAAAACCTCTGTGCCATCCCCATGCCACCTTTTGAAGACAAGCACAAGACAATCCCAGCGTCGCCATCTGTTTTTGCACCATGCCGTCATCTGGTCAGACCGATGGGACGGGGCCCGGGCAGCTGCTCCACACCCTCTGCCCCGCTGCCCTGTGTGTCCTAGAAGGGGTTCAACCTGCCACACTGTGACACAGAGGAAGCGGCAACACTGACAGCTCGACTCTCTATTGAAAGGCTGCAGTCTCATTAACACTTAGGAGAGACAGGGGTCCCTATGACAACAGCACACCCGCTGTGCTGTGTCCCTTTAACACAAATGACAAACTTTCCCCGCTTTAGAGGAACAGGTTCTTTTTGAAAGGCGACATTGTCGCTGACAAACCAAACAAATGCAAGGCAGATACAGAATCAGTCTTTTTCAGTGCAGATAATCACCGGGTGGAGCTTTCATTGAGGAAAGAAAATAATGGAGATGGAAAGGTGTAGTGACCAAAAGGTATGAATCGTCTTTAATGAGGCTTGACTGTTTGTGGTGTGCAAGTTATTTTGAATTAGAGTTACGCTGCGTATGTTTAAAATGTTGACAAAATGTTTTTTTTTTTTCCATTTTCTTGTTAGTATAAACCGTGTTAGACATTTTATTTCTAATTAAACATTCCTAAGTGTTTAACATAACTCCCTCTGTGATCAACAGAAGAAGAAGAAGAAGAAGAAGCTGCTCCACCTCAACCTGTGATCGAGACTCAGACCGAGAAGCCGGACCAGAGAGAGGAGGAGGAAGGTACTTGAAAATAAAAAAATAAATCAAGCCATTTAGTTATCCAGGGATTTTCCTGCTCTTAATTGAAACATAACTTTTCATATTTTGATGGTTCAGGTTCAAGTTACTTTATTTGTACTCGTAGGTAGATTTGGTTGCAGGGAGAGACACTTAATACAACACAGACAATACATAAAATACACAAAGTGCAAATGCACGGTAGACAGGTTAAAGTGCTGAGGTGCATAAAGTGCGCAGGTTCCAATCACAATTAATAAACAAGTTGATCTGTAAAAGCTACAGAGCTGAGAACACCAGAATAAATAATGCACGAATGAAGAACCACTAAGAAGCATGACAACAACTTCTCAGGCTGCTATCTCCGTCCCTCCATGCAAGGCCTTCATGAAGTTGGGAATCAGAAGAAGGGTCCCTTATTTCTTTTTTCTCATGTTTGTTGTGTTTCTGTGCAGCTTCCCCCCACGAGCTGACAGAAGAGGAGAAACTCCAGATCCTGCACTCTGACGAGTTTGTGAACTTCTTCGACCACAGCACTCGCATCATCGAGCGAGCTCTCTCAGAGCACGTGGATCTCTTCTTTGACTACAGCGGCCGTGACCTGGAGGAGAAGGAGGGGTAATAATTGGACAACTTGTATGCTTTCTTACTTGTAATTGGCTTTTGAAGAAGTGTTTTTATTGATTTGTGATGCTTTTGTTTTTGTTTTTTTCCAGTGAAATCCAGGCCGGAGCAAAGCTCTCGCTCAACAGACAGTTCATGGATGAGCGCTGGTCTAAGCATCGTGTCGTCACCTGTCTGGACTGGTCCCTCCAGGTCTTCTTCTTTTTATTTTTTTTATAGCTTTTTTGTGATTAAACCAACAGATAAACACATTTCTCAGAGAAGCATTTAAAATGTCAAATGTCTGCCACTGTCAACATTTAAATCCTAACAAATTTATTGTTTGTTTGTTTTCTTCTAAAAATGTCTAATAATTGTTGTTAATTGGCTGTTGAAACAAGTTAGCTTTGCACAGCCATAATGCTTTATGATTAGCTAGCTTGAGGTTGACAGCATTTATGTTCAGCCAAAAGTCCCTCAGGAAAAGTTAGTTATGTCCCAGACAAATTGTCACTTAGTCGGAGGCCGTAATGATTTGTTTCCCCTGGTGTCTAAGGTCATTGAATCCATGACCTGCAATGACTTCTGACAGTGATTGAACAGCAGCTCTTTGTTAACAGTTTACTCACTCAGACGGATACTGAAACCTCTGTTATATGAAATAATGAATACATAAAGTATAAATCTCAGATGAATAATTCTTGCTATTTCTGGAGGAATTCTTCTGCCTGTGTTTTTTAATGACAGAACTTCAGTCTCTCTGTGAGTTTCTCTGTTTTACTCTCCCTCTGTAGCTTTAAGTTGAAAGTAGGAAAGGAAATTAAATGTAAGTTACCAAAGTTTGTAAGGGGGGAGGGGCTAATTAAAAGGACCATAAATCTTAAGAAAAGGGTTAGTCATTCTTTCAGCAGCTCCGCACAGGGCAGGCAGGGCGGGCTTGTCCACATGGAGCCGAGCCCAAGGGGCATGTCTACCACCACCACCCCCTTCCCCAATTCATTTGGCATGATTCTTTTATTCCCTGTCAACAGTATCCTGAACTCCTTGTTGCCTCGTACAACAACAACGAGGAAGCTCCTCACGAGCCAGACGGCGTGGCCTTAGTGTGGAACATGAAGTACAAGAAGGCGACGCCGGAGTACGTCTTCCACTGTCAGGTATTAAAAAGTATCTCTGCTTGTTTCTCCTCCCCCCCTTCCCCCTGTCCTCACTGGTGGTTTCACAAACCACCAACCACCCCAGTTAGTTCACCCTACTGGCATCCACCTCCACCACATCCATCCACTAATACATGTTTGTGAGGCTCCGTAGACGACCTGTGGTGCAGGAGTCCAATGGAATCCGAGCGCTGCAGCAGGATAACGTGTGTGAGGCGAGGCTGGTTATCATGTGCATCCAAACAAGGGGGCCTGTGTTCAGACGAGTTAGCTGCTCCTCCTGCTCTGCCCAGCCTTATTATAATACCTGCCCCGGAGGCTCCGTCACCGAGACAAGTAGAGTAGAACCACATGTTCACTGCCTCCAGAGCGGATGTAGAAGCAGCCGTTTTGCTCAGATGGATAAAAACTGAACAGAAGTGTGAACGCAGTTTTCTCTGTGCCTCCCAGTCGGCCTTTAAATGAGATTTTTCTTTAACCATGCGTCACACTTTGTTAAGAAGTCAGTTTGGGAAAAAAAAGATATTCTGTTAAGATGATGTTAGGTGAAGTGATGAGTGCATGTAGGCCACACAAAACCCAAAGTCAAGTAATGAAATACACGGATCAAGTCGTGGTCCAAGAATATAAAATAATCCTGTTAATGAGTCTGGAAGGTTTGTATATTTCCCCCTGAAAAAAACTGAAGCGTGAGTGATGAAGGACACAACCAAGCGTGTTTAAGGAAAAGAGGTAACACACACAGAGAACACATCTGTGACTTTGAGATGAAGCAGAAAAACAACTGGTCCCAGTTGATTTTTGTTGAAGTCCAGTATTTAGCAGAGCTGTAGCTGGTATTGATTTGTTCCAGTTTTTGCATTTATTTAAATCACCTCAGTGTAGAATGAACTTAGCATAAGCATGTCATCATCATTTAGGGTAGGCTCAGAAACAAGTCTAGAGCATTCAAGATTATTTGGACAGTAGGTAAGAGCCCATCGCATTATAACGCCATCGTTTACTCCTCACAGTATCGTTTGGAGCAGAACATCACAGCTGAGCAAACAGTTGACTCCTGACACAATTGGTTGATAATATATAAAGTTTATTTATATAGCGCTTTTCGCAGACAAAGGTCACAAAATGCTTTACATCAACAAAAAACAACAACAGCATACATACAATGAAAGAAGATAGAATAAAGAAAAAATGAGTACTTCATGGACGACATTATAAAATCCTGCTATAACCAGGAACAATAATTGGCACAATACACTGGGTGGACCTGATTACCCATAGGCCTGCCTAAACATTAACATTTTTAATATGATCATTTTAAGTTAATAAGTTCTTATATCGAGTTGTTTATTGAAAAAAAAACAGCTTTCTCACTACTTTTTATACTCGTATCCATGCAGCATGGGATTACAACCCCTGTACAAAAGATCCCAAATCATTTGAGCTTGAACAGTAAAATTTATCAGTTTCCAAATTCTTCCTCTCTAAAATGATTCTTGGTGGTATCAAATATCTGTCATGCTCTGGTAAATATCATACTGCACCTCTATATTAACCCGCCCTACAATATGGCAGAGAAAGCGATGAGTCGTTGTCTTAAGGTCGACCTGTATGACTGACGCCAGACTGAGGCCTGTATGCATATTTGTTCCCTCCTTGATAGCTCAACCTCCTCACTTGTCACTTTCTCTGTTTGTGTTCTTTCTCACAGTCAGCTGTTATGTCGGCTGCGTTTGCAAAGTTCCACCCTAATGTTGTGGTTGGGGGCACCTACTCCGGGCAGATTGTTCTGTGGGACAACAGGAGCAACAAGAGGACCCCGGTGCAGAGGACTCCCTTGTCGGCAGCAGCACATACGGTAAATATAACTAATAAATCATTAACCTCTTACCTTTATTTAAAGGAAAGGTGAAGAGTACAATTCTCCCCTGATTCTGTTTGCAGCACCCAGTCTACTGCGTGAATGTGGTTGGCACCCAGAACGCCAACAACCTGATTAGCATCTCCACTGACGGCAAGATGTGCTCGTGGAGTCTGGACATGCTCTCTCAGCCACAGGTAACACACAGTTTATTTTAGTGTGTGTGTGTGTGTGTGTGTGTGTGTACGGGGCTTCTGAGGCAAAATGTGTTAACGCTTTAGGATTTAAGATTCAACCATAAACTTTAATAGCTGTGTTAAATAAAACATCAAATCTTAAATAGGTGACCTTTTTTTTTCATTTTGTGTAACTTTCTGTCTCCTCGCTGTCACATTCCGCTCTCTTCCTGTTTCCCCCCTTTCACATTAAATGTCAAACATTTCGGCCGGGCTCCTCCTTTTTTTCTTCAGCTTTCCAGCTTCCCCTCGCTTATTTTTTCTTCAACTCATTTTTCACTTTCCAGGAAATTAACTTTGCTAGCTGTGTCATTTCATCTAAGCTGCCAGGACCTCAATGTCAGACTTCCTTTTTTTATGGAGTGCTAGTTGAATTTAGATGATGCATCAATAAACTGTCAAGTGACTTTTATAGGTTGTGCTTGGCAGCATGTGTGTTAACATTAAGCCAGAGCGAGGAGCTTGTTAAAGGATGTTGTTCCACTGTGGCTCCTCCTCCTCTCAACAGGACAGCATGGAGCTGGTGTTCAAGCAGTCCAAAGCCGTAGCTGTCACCTCCATGTCTTTCCCCCTCGGAGACGTCAACAACTTCGTGGTGGGCAGCGAGGACGGTTCAGTGTACATGTCATGTCGTCATGGAAGGTGCGTTCACAAAGCAGCTCTGGTCCCCGGTGTCCCCCCTCCCGACCATGGCCAGGAAACTGAGGCAGCCTGTCAGGGCCCACCTTGCACTGAGTGTCAAATAAATATAGCCCACTCACTTCCCAGTGCAACACAAATCCAACACTTGATCTCCCGCTGTTTGAGGTTTCACTCCTGACCAGCCATCCTGTTTTTCCTTTCCGCTTGTCAGTTGTGTTTGTAAAGGTCGTTCAACATAAACAGGGCACACATGCAGGGGAAACAAATCATTTTTTCCCCTCTTCACTTTTTTCTCTCTCTTCTTTTTCGGTATGTTTCTCTGGGTGAGAGAGTTTGTTTACAGTCAGTCGTCCCGGGGAGAAATAAAAACTGCTAGTTCATCCCACAATGTTCTCAATTGAGAGTCTCCTCTCCTCCTCCTCCTTCGGTAATATGGCTTAAATCAGAGCTGCCAGTGAGCAGTGTGTTAGCATGTCCTGCAGTGTGCCTGTCGACAACAGTAAGACGAAAGCTGCTAGGTTTAGCTGTGCAGAATCCCCTCTGTAATAGAGGGAATCATTTCCCACCTCATTGACGATGGTATGATCCTCTCATCACAGTTAATAATACATAAGCATCACTCACGCTGAGTATTTACCTCTCTGCGTTAATTATCAGAGCCTCAGTTGGTTAACAGCCGTGCAACATGTGGTTGGGAGGTTGCAGGCACTTTTGCTGCCCTGCTGGTTATCACATGATATTTAAATGAGAAATGAATGTGGAAAAAAAAAAAGTAGAGTTATATAATACAAACAAGGGCATAGACAATCAATATCTCCTGAATCAGAGGTCAGTCTATCCACTATCTAGACAAATCTGAACCCCAAAGAGTCACACAATTTTGCAGTTCAAAGTGAAGTCAGACTGAAACAAACAGTTAACAACACATGGATACATCTTACCAGCGTCTGCATTGTAATAAGTGGTGCTTAATTTAAGTCCGCACCTTGTTTGTTCTGTAACAGGATACCATTAGCCTCTCTATACCTAATGCCTTCCTAAAGAGTGTTCTATTTTGGGAATCAATAAAAATCTCTAATGACTTCTAAAAAAAAAAATATATATATATATATATATATATATATATATATATATATATATATATATATATAAATATAATTCTTAATGCACCTCCCAAATTATTGTTTTGGATTTCCGTTGTAGTTTTATGCACAGCACAATGTATCACACCTAATTATATTCAACATCATGCTGGATTCAACATGTCGCTCTGTTTGCACTGAACACTGTGTGTGTTCTCCACAGCAAAGCGGGCATCAGTGAGATGTTCGAGGGCCACCAGGGGCCCATCACAGGGATCCACTGCCACACAGCTCCTGGGCCTCTGGACTTCTCCCACCTGTTTGTGACCTCCTCTTTTGACTGGACCGTTAAGCTGTGGAGCACCAAGGTACCAGACATATCTGTGCTGATATGTTAATGTCCCAGAATGCCTCAGGGTTTCTTCATGTGTTTGAAAGGATCCATGTGTGTGTTCTATGCCCCGGCTAAATTTGATATAATCCAGCATTTCCTCATTATGTTAATTTCCAAGCCGCATTCTTCTGTTATTAAAAGGGTTAGTGAATGGGTTTGGAAACAGAAGTCACAATACAAGAGCATTTTTAAGCCTAGAAAACTATCGTGTTCCTACTATTATGACAAGATTTGGTTAATACTGACACAACAGGGGAAAGGGAGAAATTTAATTCAAGTTATTGTTCTTTTGAAATTATGAGCAGCTGTGGTAAAGTAAAGGTTAAAAGGAGTATTAACAGCTAATGCTCCTCTTTTGTTAGACTTAGCTTTCTTGGAAAATAAGTTGGAGTGAAATAAGGAGACAAAAACCTTTCATGTGAATAAGATGAACCAATGAAAAAGTCTAACCATGGCATGATTCCTAGTGCCTGCTTAGATGATCTCAGATTGAGCATCATACCTTCACACCTGCACGGCGTATAAGCAGCTTTAATGCCCTTCCTGTCTTGTTCACCATTTAGTGTTTATAACTGCAACCTAGCACTCAGCACAAAACCAATATAAGTGTCATTAGTTTGAATGTGTTTGATCATAAAGGAAAACAAATGAAAAATGAAGATTGAGCACATTTTGAAAAGGTTTACATTATATCCAAAGTTAAACATAAAAGGCTCTCCTGAATTTTAAATCAAATCATCCAATAGCTGTCAGGAACTTTGACCCTTGACCAGAGTTTACCTTGATTTCTATTTTTAGATTCTGTATAAGTTAAATGTGTCGTTTGCTCATGCCTACTTATCACTCAAGTCTTTAACGTCTTTTACCTTCAAATCTCTCTGCAGAATAACAAGCCCCTCTACTCGTTTGAAGATAACTCGGATTACGTGTATGATGTCATGTGGTCTCCCACTCACCCTGCTCTGTTTGCTTGTGTTGACGGAGTCGGCCATCTTGACCTCTGGAACCTCAACAACGACACGGAGGTATTACAATCCTCTGAGCAGCACACACACATATTTCATCACTCTTTTACTTCCAGTCCCCAGACGAGTAACTAATCTCAATTGTTCATCCTCTTTTGCTTTTTAATCTAATACCTTGTGAGGAAGTAGTACAGAAATGAAAGATTTTTTTTTCCATTCTTATATTTTTTCTTTTCTTGTGTATTTCTAGGTTCCTACGGCCAGCGTCACAGTAGACGGTAACCCGGCCCTCAACAGGGTCCGATGGGCTCATTCAGGCAGAGAGATCGCTGTTGGAGACTCCGATGGGCGAGTTCTTGTGTACGATGTCGGAGAGGTGAGCAGCCATCACTGGACTTCCTACCTATTCATTTCTTTATTAATTTTCCTCACCTAATCAATGAAGCAAGTTGTTGCAGAAATGATTGAGAATCTTACCTGCTGTAGGGATTAATTGGTGAATGTGTCCTGTTATTTTAATGAATGTGGCCTGCATGCATTAGTTGTCTGTTTAGGTGAGCTTCAGGTACAGCTCACTCAATGTTTTATATGTGGCCTTGTGTAATTTGTACGTGTTTATTGTTTATAGTGTTACATGTTGTCTTGTTGTGTGCACATTACATTTACTTCAGTAAGTTATTGGATACGTGTTTTTGCTAATACTTGTTTTTTGGGGGGTTTTTTTTGGTACATTATGTCTGCTCAAAGCTCTCCATGTCTGTCCTGCATGATATACATTTTTTTATATTAACCAAATGCTGCTTTATGTGTATCCTGCATGGTTTATGTATTTTCTCCTGTGGCTGCTCACCTGTCTGCTTCATTACTGTCATGATATTTCTATTTTTGTAGCTTTTAGCGATGTTTGAATTTGTTTTTTTAGGGAGCCTTTTATAAAATCTGGTCAGGGACAACAGATAAAAATTAACCGTTTGGCTAACTCTGGCATATTTACCGAAATGCTTATTAATATGCAATGTCCCTGTAAAATAAAAAAAATAAAAAAAATAATAATAATTACTCGACAACTGAAGAACTCAATTTAAGATTTTCTGAGAGGTTCTTTTTATTTTATTTCAACTATTTATGGTTTGTGTTTGTACTAGTTTCACTAACATGCACACAGAGCATTGAGTGTTTTTCATATTTGAATCATTTTTTGTCCCTCAGCAAACTTCTGTTCCACGCAACGACGAGTGGACCCGCTTTGTACGCACGCTGGCAGAGATCAACGAGAACCGAGACGACGCAGAGGAGCTGGCAGCTCAGCGCCTGGCCGCCTGATCCACTCACTGTGCACGAGATGTTTAAGGGACCAGTGCTTGTTTTATTATCAGCCTCAATGTGAGGAGTAGGACAGATGTGGTGACAACAGGACAGAGGAAACGTCTTTTTGTTTATTCCTCTCTCTTATTCAACAACACTGCTGAGAAGGCAGCCACTACGCTGGCTTTCTCAGCAATCTGGAGGGTCTTTGTTTGGATTATCAGAAGCGACAGGGCTATCAACCTCAGACACTTACAGAAAGCCATATTCACAAACACAGACAGGTCATCCTGTTTCTAGCCAGATGCCTTAAACTTTCATTTTTTCTCGATTGTAAAATCCATCCATTTCTACCAAAGTTTGAGTAAAAAGCAATCACATCTTGAAAACACCTGGGAATGTAATCCTACTATCACTGTCGCCCATGTTGCCACCTGTTCCTTTAAGACTGATGACTGGAATTTTTCCCCAGCTTGTAAAATACTGATATATCAAAATTCAAATTTCTTTCTACTTCTGTATAGTTCTATAATGCACTAGTTCTGACTTATGTAGTGGTGCTGGTTAGAGTTGAGATAGTAGGGATATAATAAATGCCTGAGAAGATGATCATGTATGCTGTTACTGCTCGGTGATTTGTGTCATGTACGTCAGAGGGGTCTTAACAAGAGATCGCTCGTCTCCTGAAGCTTGGTGTTGAAACTGAGAATGTAATTTTCACACAGAAGAAAACAGTTTGATTGATTTATTTCAATAAAATACAATAAATACATTTAAATTATTTGCCCCAAGTCCCCGGCCATTATTTCAAAACGAACACTTCTGAAAACATCTGTACATCTTCATGTCTTTGAAATTTTACTGACACATACATGCACACCAGAAAAGCCATCGCACACCAGAAAAAGCAGTAACAATCCTTTTGTAAGGCCATAATGTCCCTCTATAGAGAAGTACAATATGTACAATAAAGTTGTGCAACAAAAAAAAAACACAAGAAAGCCTGACTCATGCAGCATTCAAAGTAAGACAAACGCTCAAAGGCATTGGTTTGTACTCGGTTCAGTTTAATGCTTCTGGAGGAAACATGACTGTAGCAGCATGCAGCCCTCTCAGGCACATCAAGCAGACGTTTTATAACGGCTGCGGCTTCACTTCCGACTCCGCTGGTTTGACTGTAACCTCGCTGGAAGACTTGAACTTTGGCAGGTGCAGACCAAACTTCCTCTCCACGCCGGCAAAGGTCGCAGCAGCCAGGCGGTAGCCCCCTACGTGGTCTGCAGTCACAGAGGGAAGGTCGTCGAGGGACGCTTTGGCAGTGGGCTCTGAGCCCGCAGGACGACTGGTGAAAAGAGACGGATTAGAGCCTGGAGCCACTTCTTCCACTATCTAAAGGTATTTAGATCTGTGAAGGTGTAAAGTACTTACTGTCCTCCGAAGTCTACGTATAACCATCTCTGCAACAGCTCGTAGGTCACGAGGGTCACACCAAACTGTGGTGAAGATCTGAAAACGCGAGCTACCACCAGAAGATAGTTTGTAATTTACAATATGGGATAAAGAAACAGCCATGAAACTACAAATAGAACTGTTATTGTATTTACCTCCTGTACCCTTCCAAAACGCCTTGAAGCCTTCCTCCTTGAGGATCTTCCTGAAGCAGTCGATGACTCCGTTATATGACGTCTGGCCTGCTCGGGCGGCCACCTGGAGCCTGGTCTTGATGACATCAGCAGGGGTCACCAGGGAAGCCGCCGGAACACCTTAGGATTCCCAACAGACGCGATGAAGCACAGACAGGTTCTAACTTCCTAGCTGCAGCATCATGCAGGGCTTAAAATGGGTGTAGCTGTATATATGATACAACAAATGCATTGCAAATACGTATACAGCCAGTGTTTCAAAGGACAAACAGAGGAAACTAAACTTCATTCCTTGTATTTTTTTGTAGTAGAAAATATCCCACATCCCTCAATTAAAAAAAACAGAGGCAGCTGAACTTCGCTGTTGTTTCTTACCTGCTATAGCTCCAGCTGTGAGCAGCTGCAGGGCCCCCAGCCTTCCGTCCTCATCAGCCAGTTTAGTCTTGGTGTGGGCATAAACAGGGAAGTAGATAGCGGAGAAGGGGATGTCACGCAGGAAGCAAGCTTTGGCTCCCTTTAAGAAAAAGAAAAAATATATATATAAACATGGTGTTCAGAGGACGTTTGTCTTGAGATTAATTGACCTCTGAGCTGTTTTGTTCAACCTACAGGGGGGGCTTTAATGTTGATGATGGAGCCAAAGAGCCCCAGGCAGACATGAAGCCTAGAGAGAGATCCATCACGCACACACACACACACACACACACACACAGGATTGCCATGGACCCTGATGTGCATGCTTCCTTTGCCAAGAGAATTAAGGGTTTTTTCTTTTTTCCTTTTTTTTTTTAACAAGCCACAAACTGTCTGCTCCTCATTAAAATATGGAGTATGAACACACGAGTGGAGCTCCAAGTAAAGCCACAAGGATCTGGAAAGGAGCAGTAGCAGAGCGCAATGCTTCACTAATTCACTGTCTGATGTTGGCCACGACTCCTTCACATGTTTAACACTGTTTAAGCAAACCGTCAGAAAAATGTCCTCTTCTGATCGTCATCATGTCTGTGTACTCACACAGCAGTCCTTCATCACCCCAACAGAACAGCAAAAACAAAACTCACACAGGGATATACAGAAGTGGAAACTAAAGTACATTCAATACACTAATCTAACAAGGGAAGTATTGAACTTTAATCTTTGTTAAATCGACCGTTTTTTGGGGTTACAATTATTTGATTAAACAATCAGGAGTTAGCTGTCACCGCCAAGAAAAGTTTTCCAATCTTGTTTGTTTAGCAGCAGGTTTATGAAAAAACTATTGACCTCATATATAAAAGCTGGTGGATGTGTTCGGCTTGAGTTAATGAAATACTCATTTCAGTTGGACCAGATCCACCTCATACACAAGCAATTACATGACAAAATGGAACCCTGATCTCTAAATAAAAGCAGACTTTTAGAAGCCCTAACTTCTTCCTGACAACTGTTTTCAACAACAACAAACAAGCTGACGTGATTTTTATTTGAGTCCAAACATTTAGTATTTGTACTGATGTACATGGTTATTAATTGCTTCTGCTTTTCACAAAAATGCTTAGAAAGATGTTACATTTTGTATTTCCAGTTCAAGGATATATAATAAATGGAAAACTTAGATGAAGATATTCATATGCTGAATCATTTTTGTAATTCTGTAAATTCCTGTTCCTTTGCATATCTAGAAGACTGGACTATTGGTCTTGTTAATATATCTAAATTAAACTTACAATAATCAAGAAAATATAATTAAAAAACATAAAACCTGGACAGTGACACTTCAGCTCTGGTTCTGCTGGAGGTGTCTGCCTGTTTAAAGGAAGTTTTTCTTTGTCACTGTTGCCAGATGTGAGGATCAAATCAGGCAAAAAAAGTATCCAAAGTTTTTTTTGTTGGTTTTGAGGGACTTTTTACTGTTTACTGATATTGTATAAACTTATTAATGAATTGCACTGACTGCTACATTTAAATTCATTTAAATTCATCAATAATGAAAATGTCTTCAACTAAACTTCTTCTGCCTGTCTCTCTTGTTACAACACACCAAAGTGAACAGTCTGTTGTCTGTTTTGTTTCTGAGGAGCAAGAGAATGCCCTTGTATGACAGTGAGTAGAGGTTGCTGCTGCAGACGTCATGGAGCTGCAGAGGTGCTGACCTACCTTGTAGAGGCCAAAGAAGCCCAGGTCTCTCACAACATTCAGGGCACTGACCCGGGGGCCTGTGGTGATCTCTCCAGCCACCTGCAGACGGATCTTAACAATCTCCAGAGGATTGGTGAAGATCACCTGGGAACCTCCAGCCTGCAGGAAACACCGGGGACAAGAAGCCGCTGATGAGTGTTTTTTTAAAAAGCACAGATGTAAGTTTCTTAGATTAGAGAGGTGAACTTTGGGTGATGATGTAATGATGTGTAAGCATTTCTCTCAAGTAGGAATTTTCAAATTATCTCTGTAAACTTTAGCACAAAAGACACTTTTTTCCTCCTGATCTGATTGTGTCTAGTAACAAGACGGCCTTGATAGAGGAGGCATTGATAGAAGAATAACTGAGGTCAGAGCAGAGCAGGCGTCGGGTGAGTAGAAGCCCTTGGCTCATGGTCGGGAATCTCTGACCCTGGCAGCGACCCTCTGCCCCCTTGCCTCCCCCCCCCGAGGCACCTCCTGTGGCAGGGTTGAGCGGCCCGGCCTGGCCTTGTGCCGCACACTTCCCCAATTCACCCCCCGTTCCCATGGGAGAGCGCTGAATCACCCGGACGGCTCAGGGTACGGACAGGCAATGCCCTGAAGGCTTGGCACCCTCTGACTCAGGCACATTTATCACCCGCCCCAAATCGAATCAGGCCCCACGATGGCTGCTGGTGACATTCAGGGGAGGGGATCTTATCTGTAAACATCTGAGCAAAGGGCTAAAAAAAGCTCCGGCACATTTAGTCATTTTCAAAGTGGAGGGGGGAATATCCGCTGCTCTGAAGATTGATGCACTCCCTCTCTTTTATCTTCTTCTCCACTCTAATGATGGCATCATTTAACAAGCTGTCAGTTTAACCAGACTTCCACTTCACTGAAATAAAGGAAGGATTCCTGGATCATAATAACACATGTATGGATACAAGCAGGTCAAATATGGGATGTATTGTTAGGTGTTGAATATGTTTGAAACATCCCCGTGGTCCTGTGTGCAGACCTGCACTGCGGCCATGCCTCGGGTGTGTACTGCGTTGTCAAACTCAATCACACTGAGCCAGACCCAGCTTCATCCAGGACCCTCCGGGGGCCTCTTCCTACAATTATACCCTGACAGGGGTCCTGACCCTGCAGACCCAAGCTCCTCTGTGAGCAACCTGCAGGCTCTGCTGCAAGGCCTGCTGTTATGCTTCAGCACAGTCAGCACAGAGCCAGAGTGAAGGAATAACATCTTAACTTTATCTCTGCACTTATAAGATGTTTTCATATTTTACAATTTGGGGCCTAGTTGGAAAAAAAATACCTAAATTGCAAGATTTTGCAAACGTTCATTTATGACTTCAGGGAACTCAAACAGGAGGCCAAAGATCAGCTCCTTTTTATGTTCTCTTACACAAACTAGTTATGAGTTATAGGCGGGTAAAATGTTTCAGAGCAAGTGACAGAAAAATACAGTTCTCCTGGTTTAAAGTTTCTGTGAGCAGTTTTTTTTATATTTTAATGAAACATTCTGAAATGAAAACTGATGTCTCTATCTAACCTTCCCTCAGTGACATGATTGATAATGTCTATAAAGTTATTTTTAATGCCTGTCAGCCCTGCTGCGGGGTAGTTGTCAGTTGAGGCGATTAACAGACGTTTTTTAATTTTCTCTGATAATAGATAAAGTCTGAGTTTCGTGTGAGACCTAAAAAATTAAAGAAGATTACTTACAGACATACAAAACAAGATCAGCAAGGAGATAAATGGTCCTACTTTGTCCACAGGGGGTGCCGTAATAAACACAAAATCAAGTTCCTCACTGGACCTTCAAAACCTTGAAGGTCCAGTGAGTAAAGATACTCAAACTAAAAATACTTCTTTGAAACTTTGAAACTTCGGCTGAAACAAAACAAATAAATGAATTAAGTCCACCTGCTGAGTCTGGCTAGTTTGATCTGTAGTTAGAAACTATTCATAGGTTAATCATCACCGTACT